GCCCCTGTGTGTTTCCCCAGTCTGTGATCTTCCTCCACTTCCTGTGGGTGGGCCCCCTACAGGCCATCGCGGTGCTGGTCATCTTGTGGCACGAGCTGGGGCCCTCGGTCTTGGCCGGCTTCTTTGTCCTCTTGTTACTCATTCCGGTGCAAGGGTTTATGGGCAAGCTCTTCTCCAAACTCAGGTATGCGGATTTGTTGGTTGTGGTTTGTTTGTTTGTTTGTTTGTTCATTTGTTTGTTGTTGTTGTTGTTTTCACTCTTTTTGTTGTTGTTGATGATGATGATGGTGATGTTGTTGTTGTGGTCACTCTTTTTGTTGTTGATGATGATGGTGATGTTATTGTTGTTGTCACTTTTTTGTTGTTGTTGATGATGATGATGGTGAATGTTATTGTTATTTTATTGTTGTTGTTGTTTGTTGTTGTTACCGGTACTCTTTTTATCGTTGATTTTGGAGATGATGTTGGTAATGTTGTTGTTGTTGGTGATGGTTGTGTTGTTATTAAATATTTTTAATGGTTGCAAATGGTCAAGCTCTTCACCAGACTAAGGTTTGGTTTTGTTGTTGTTCTTGCTATTCTTCTTTCCTCTCCTCTCTCTCCTCCACCTCCAGCCTCCCTCCCCATCGTCCTCCCCTTTTCTCCTCCTCTCATGACTGCCTTCCCCTATTCGTCCCCTCCAGACACAAGGCAGCCATCCACACAGATGAGCAAGTCAAAGTGATGAACGAGATCATCTCTGGCATGCGGGTCACTCTTCTTCCTTCTCCTCCCCCCTCTCTTACTCCCCCACCTCTTCCTCCCCCTCTCATGAATGTCTTCCTCCATTGGTCCCCTGTAGGTGGTTGGCGGGTGCTCTTGTGTGGTTTGCTCCTTCTTTCCCATCAAACATCTATGGTCCTGATCTCTCCTCCTTCTAAACTATTCTTCCCCTCCAGACACAAGACAGCCATCCACACAGACGGGCGAGTCAAAGTGATGAACGAAATCATCTCTGGCATGTTTGTCACTTATTTTTCTCCTCCTCTCTCTCTTCCCCACTCTCTTCCTCCCTCTCTTCCTCTTCCTCCTCCTCCTTTTCCTATTCCTCCCATAACTGTCTTCCCCTATTCATTCCCTCCAGACACAAGACTGCCATCCACACAGACGAACGAGTCAAGGTGATGAACGAGATCCTCATCTTCCTCCTCCTCCTCCTCCTCCTCCTCCTCCTCCTCT